CACTCTGTCACATCTGTATAGGTTGTAACCTGGGATCCATATTTCGTTGTCCAAGTGATCCTTTATGTGGGTCTCAGTGAAAGCTGCGAACATTGCCTTTGCCTCTGCAAGCAGTCCACGGATGAAAGGTATTTTGTGTGCTCACATATCACACATAAAAACATAAGAAAGCAGGCCTTCTAGTCCATGGACTAGCAAGCCTGCTAGTCCATGATAGGCAGGTCCAGCTCACATTCACTCATGTATTTGTAGACAGGAACCACCCAGAGAGGTGCTGCTGTCCTGCCAAATGTGTGAAATGGAAACCCATAATTGCATATAAGAGGTACATCTTGCTACTTCTACTTACACTTATGTCACACTACACATGCATGTACAGCGGAACCCCGAGTTTCGTCCGCCCTGAGTATTGTATGCTTCGAGTTTAGAACTGCTTTTTCAGCTAAATTTTGTCCCAAGTTTCGCACTGTGCCCCGTGTTTCGTCCTGTGAACCAGGCCTGTCCATGCCTGCGCGCCTCCCCACACAGGCATCGTGAGTCAGTCTGACTGCTTATTTATCTTTGAGTGAACATTACCCTGTGCACTCATCCAAACATTTCACAATTAATTCATTGTGTTTGGTGCTTGTTTATTGAGTGCAACTGTGAAGTAAGTCACCATGTTGCCAAAGAATCCTTCAGTATTATGCTAATATCAACACTATGGCTTATTTATCTATCAAAATTGATCTAATATGACATAATAAAGAATATAAACAAAATAGAAACATGAAATATACTCTAGAATGAATAAAATATGTCATTATATGAAAAGTGTTGAAGGACAGTCTGACATAAAATAATTACCCCTCTGAACATGTCTCCCTGTTTTCTCTTATGCTGGGATAAAGAGAAAATGGAGTGTGAGGCTAACTGCACTAGATAATAATAATAATAATTAATGTTTATTTCCTTGAAAAGGCTTACAATGTGTGGTTTACATAGGTTTACAAGGAAGGTCTCTAGCATGCCTAGAAATACTGAAAAAAGTGATTTCTTCAGTGATTAAGGACATGTGTGCAAAGTCAACAAGTCTTCAATAAAGGTAAAAGTGATGTTAAATGTTCATTTATCCATTTCGTGTATAGGGCAAGGAGGAATAACATCTTGTAGGAGTGAGGAAGAGCCAGTTGTGAGTGTGGGGGAAGTTCGTGAGGCAGTAGGTAAAATGAAAGGGGGTAAGGCAGCCGGGATTGATGGGATAAAGATAGAAATGTTAAAAGCAGGTTGGGGATATAGTTTTGGAGTGGTTGGTGCAATTATTTAATAAATGTATGGAAGAGGGTAAGGTACCTAGGGATTGGCAGAGAGCATGCATAGTTCCTTTGTATAAAGGCAAAGGGGATAAAAGAGAGTGCAAAAATTATAGGGGGATAAGTCTGTTGAGTGTACCTGGTAAAGTGTATGGTAGAGTTATAATTGAAGAATTAAGAGTAAGACGGAGAATAGGATAGCAGATGAACAAGGAGGCTTTAGGAAAGGTAGGGGGTGTGTGGACCAGGTGTTTACAGTGAAACATATAAGTGAACAGTATTTAGATAAGGCTAAAGAGGTCTTTGTGGCATTTATGGATTTGGAAAAGGCGTATGACAGGGTGGATAGGGGGGCAATGTGGCAGATGTTGCAAGTGTATGGTGTAGGAGGTAGGTTACTGAAAGCAGTGAAGAGTTTTTACGAGGATAGTGAGGCTCAAGTTAGAGTATGTAGGAAAGAGGGAAATTTTTTCCCAGTAAAAGTAGGCCTTAGACAAGGATGTGTGATGTCACCGTGGTTGTTTAATATATTTATAGATGGGGTTGTAAGAGAAGTAAATGCGAGGGTCTTGGCAAGAGGCGTGGAGTTAAAAGATAAAGAATCACACACAAAGTGGGAGTTGTCACAGCTGCTCTTTGCGATGACACTGTGCTCTTGGGAGATTCTGAAGAGAAGTTGCAGAGATTGGTGGATGAATTTGGTAGGGTGTGCAAAAGAAGAAAATTAAAGGTGAATACAGGAAAGAGTAAGGTTATGAGGATAACAAAAGATTAGGTGATGAAAGATTGAATATCAGATTGGAGGGAGAGAGTATGGAGGAGGTGAACGTATTCAGATATTTGGGAGTGGACGTGTCAGCGGATGGGTCTATGAAAGATGAGGTGAATCATAGAATTGATGAGGGAAAAAGAGTGAGTGATGCACTTAGGAGTCTGTGGAGACAAAGAACTTTGTCCTTGGAGGCAAGAGGGGAATGTATGAGAGTATAGTTTTACCAACGCTCTTATATGGGTGTGAAGCGTGGGTGATGAATGTTGCAGCGAGGAGAAGGCTGGAGGCAGTGGAGATGTCATGTCTGAGGGCAATGTGTGGTGTGAATATAATGCAGAGAATTCGTAGTTTGGAAGTTAGGAGGAGGTGCGGGATTACCAAAACTGTTGTCCAGAGGGCTGAGGAAGGGTTGTTGAGGTGGTTCGGACATGTAGAGAGAATGGAGCGAAACAGAATGACTTCAAGAGTGTATCAGTCTGTAGTGGAAGGAAGGCGGGGTAGGGGTCGGCCTAGGAAGGGTTGGAGGGAGGGGGTAAAGGAGGTTTTGTGTGCGAGGGGCTTGGACTTCCAGCAGGCATGCGTGAGCGTGTTTGATAGGAGTGAATGGAGACAAATGGTTTTTAATACTTGACGTGCTGTTGGAGTGTGAGCAAAGTAACATTTATGAAGGGATTCAGGGAAACCGGCAGGCCGGACTTGAGTCCTGGAGATGGGAAGTACAGTGCCTGCACTCTGAAGGAGGGGTGTTAATGTTGCAGTTTAAAAACTGTAGTGTAAAGCACCCTTCTGGCAAGACAGTGATGGAGTGAATGATGGTGAAAGTTTTTCTTTTTCGGGCCACCCTGCCTTGGTGGGAATCGGCCGGTGTGATAATAAAAATAAAAAAAAAGTATTTCTAACTGTTTCCTGCATGTAAAACTATGGTTATTCTTTAAAAAAATGTATTTTTTTTTTTAATATTTTTGGGTGTCTGGAATGGATTAATTGGATTTGCATTATTTCTTATAGGAAATATTGCTTTGACTTCAAAATGTTTCGACTTTAGTCCTAGCTCCTTGAACGGATTAAGGACAAAACTCGGGGTTCCACCATACTTATGTATGACATGTACGTATTATGTCAAGTTAATGGAAGTAAGAAGAGAGAGAGGGGTGGGTAGATTACATTTTCTTGGACTGCAAGAAGGCCTTTGACAATTCCTCACAAGAGATTAGTGCAAAAGCTAGAGGATCAGGCATGTATAACAAGTACGTGATGAGGTATCACAGTGGGTGCCTGTAATGAGCGGGGTCCCACAGGGGTCAGTCCTAGGACCAGTGCTATGTTTGGTATATGTGAATGACATAATGGAAGGGATAGACTCAGAAGTATCCCTGTTTGTAGATGATGTGAAGTTAATGAGGAGAATTAAATCAGATAAGGACTAGGACTAGGACTAGGTAGGCAGGACTACAGAGACCTGGACAGGCTAGAAGCTGGGTCCAGCAACCGGCTCCTCGAATTTAACCCTGCCAAATGCAAAGTCATGAAGATCAGGAAAGGGCAAAGAATACCACAGACAGAGTATAGGCTAGGTGGCCAAAAACTGCAAACGTCACTCAGGAAAAAGGATCTTGGGGTGGGTATAATACCGAGCACATCAACCAGATAACTGCTGCAGCACATGGGCGCCTGGCAAACCTGAGAACAGCGTTTCGATACCTCAGTAAGGAATCGTTCAAAGACACTGTACACCATGTATGTCAGGCCCATACTGGAGTATGCAGCACCAGTTTGGAACCCCACACCTAGTCAAGCATGTCAAGAAATTAGAGAAAGTGCAAAGGTTTGTAACAAAGCTAGTTCCAGAGCTAAGGGTAATGTCCTACGAAGAAAGGTTAAGGGAAATCGACCTGATGACACTGGAGGACAGGAGGGCTAGGGAAGACATGATAACAACATACAAAATACTGCGAGGAATTGACAAGGTGGACAGAGACAGGATGTTCCAAAGATGGGACACAGAAACAAGGAGTCACAATTTGGGAAATTGAAGACTCAGACGAGTGTCAAAGAGATGTTAGGAAGTATTCTTTAGTCAGAGAGTTGTTGGGAAGTGGAATAGTCTGGCAAGGGATGTAGTGGAGGCAGGAACCATTCATAGTTTTAAGACAATTTATGATAAAGCTCATGGAGCAGGGAGAGAGAGGACCTAGTAGCGATCAATGAAGAGACAGGGCCAGGAGCTATGTCTCGACCCCTGCAACCACATAGGTGAGTACACCCATCTGAATTTTCTTCTATTTTCTCTATAGTTCTCATTCTTATCTATTTTCTTTCATTGCCATGGGAAAATGGAAAAGATGTTTCTTCTTTTTCAGGTCACCCTAGTTTGGTGGTTGATGGCCAGCAAGTTAAATAATTCTTCTTTCTTCTTTCAACATACCGGCCGTATCCCACCGAGGCGGGGTGGCCCAAAAGAAAAAACCAAAGTTTCTCCTTTCAAATTTAGTAATATATACAGGAGAAGGGGTTACTAGCCGCCCCTTGCTCCCGGCATTTTAGTCGCCTCTTACAACACGCATGGCATACGGAGGAAGAATTCTGTTCCACTTCCCCATGGAGATAAGAGGAAATAAACAAGAACAAGAACTAGAAGAAAATTAGAAGAAAACCCAGAGGGGTATGTATATATACGCTTGTACACGTATGTGTAGTGTGACCTGAGTGTAAGTTAGAAGTAGCAAGACGTACCTGAAAAATTTTGCATGTTCATGAGACAGAAAAAAGGGACACTAGCAATCCTACCATCATGTAAAACAATTACAGGCTTTCGTTTTTACACTCACTTGGCAGGACGGTAGTACCTCCCTGGGCAGGTTGTTGTCTACCAACCTACTACCTAGGAGTTAAATAATTGTAAGAATAATAATAATAAAAGAAATGAAATGCCTTACTTTCCACTCCATTTTGACTGGTTGATCATGGGGTGTGCGAGGAGGTGCCCTGGGTGGCAGTCCTCGAGCTGAAGTGGTGGGTGTGGAGGGTGCAGTGCTCTCCCGGTTCAGTGCCTGTCTAAACAGCTGCTGTTGAAGCCAGATAGTTTGTTGTAGGTTAGCAGCGTTCGTGTACATCGTTTGTGCTGGGAGAAATGTGACGTAGTTTCGGTTGCTCTCGGTGTCAGGGTGTGCTGGCTTGTGACTGGTTGAATGAGCTTGGTGGGTGGTGGTGGGGTTTATAATGTGCTCCGACTCTTGACCTCGACCACTGGTCTTCTGCGGTAAAGAGGCGTGAAGAGGTGGCAGACGCATACACCGTCTGCAGCTATCGCAAGAGATAGCTGAATAGGTGTCTGATTCTAGACTAACCTGAGGAAGGCAATAAAGTGTTACATAATTATCAGGAAATACCTTGGTGGGAAATGAGTGACATGTTAAAATAAAGAAAAACACTATGAAACACACAAGAGTAACTGGCATTTATTGCTCATAGAAGAAAGGAAAGCAAGTTCTGCTATTGCAAGAGAGACCTTAATAGGTGTCTGATTCTAGACTAACCTGAGGATGTGATGTAAATGATTTACAAAACTGACAAATTGAAGACAATAAAGACATCACCACTCACTCTATCACTGTCTTGCCAGAGGTGCATCAATACTACAGTTCAAAAACTGCAACTTATCTCCACCTCTCCTTCAGAGGGTTACTCATAAGAGCCAAAACAAAGAGGAATCACAGGTATGTTAGACAGCACTTCCATAGTCTCAGGATGGTAATAAGAGTGCAATGAACTACTTAAGGAAATGAAGGAAAACTCCATTCACAGCTTCAAGAGTAGATACAACATAACAGAGTCTGGAGGTCAGAATTCAGTAGAAGTCAGTCAAGAAGCAATGTAAGATGCACCCTGCCTCTCAACTTGTGCCTTGTAATAAATGTAGAATTAGACAATATCAAGTAAAAAACACAATGCAACTAATATGCATTGTATGTGGCACACGTTAAGGTTTATAAAGCTCCTTTGGAGAGCGTAACCGTGTGCCAAATAAATGTCACATTAAAATTGAAAGTGTCCTTTTACTTTACAAAATTGTACTTTGACTTTTTTTTTGTAACAGTAGCCCCCCAAACGACAACTCGAAGGCCAATGTAAGGAATTTGTAAGTGGTGGTAGGTCATCTTAAAGTGAAAGTGGGTAATCACTTCAAAAATATTCCACAAATTGGTCCTAGGACCTTAACCCTGAAGTGTCAAAAATATCGTAAGGGGTACCGTTTATTTCAAAATATGAAAATGTAAAAAAAGTAGATCTATCTTTTTGTTTGTCTCTTACATTTTGTAAAGAAAGTTAAAAAAACTGAAAGATTAACTTTTTTTTTTGTTAATGAACGAAAAGAGACATGAAATACCATATTAAAAGTAAGTTATTTATAAGATTCTTTGTTGCCATTTGGGCGAAAGGGGAAAAACACTCACAAACAGGGAAACAAAGAGTTCAAATAATGGAACAAATACTTTCTGAAAGTGAAAAAAAATATGTTTTAAGGGGGTCCCCAAAAAATGGGAAAAAAAAAGTGAAAAACACTACTTTTGTAGCGCCTACCCCACGTAAACGTGAATAACTGGACCATAGGGGTAAAAGAAAGTTATAGAAAAAGAAACATTAGAAGTTAAATTTGGCCCAATGAAAGAAAAGGACACCAAAAAGAATAACATAGACAAATAAGAAAGTTTTAAAAAGGCCCAATAGGAAACAAGGCCATAACAGAAGAAAAGGGCAAGAATAAAAAAAAGGACCCAATAAATTTTAACAAGAAGTATATAAGAATAAACAAAAAAATAAGAAAAAAAACCATTAAGAATAACAGACACCAATAAGAAGTATCAGGCACCTGAATACACAGGCACATAAGCTAACAATGACACCAATAAGAATAACAAGGACACCAATAAGAATAACAAGAACACTAATAAGAATAACAAGAACACTAATAAGAATAACAAGGACACCAATAAGAATAACAAGGACACCAATAAGAATAACAAGGACACCAATAAGAATAACAAGGACACCAATAAGAATAACAAGACACCAAAAAAGAATAACAAGACAATAATAAGAATAACAAGGACACCAATAAGAATAACAAGGACACCAATAAGAATAACAAGAACAATAATAAGAATAACAAGGACACCAATAAGAATAACAAGGACACCAGTAAGAATAACAAGGACACCAATAAGAATAACAAGGGCACCAATAAGAATAACAAGGACACCGTAAGAATAACAACAACACCCAATAAGAATAAAAAGGATAAATGGAGATTTAACATTGGGAACCAGGAAGGAATATGAGGAATGATTAAAGGAAAAACAAGGAAGCACTGATAGGGCAAGGAGGATAACCTTTAATGAGAAACCAGGGGGTCCCAGGGGAATAACGAAGGCACCAGGTAAAATGAAAAGGGGAACACCAATATGGAAAAAGATAGGGAAAGTAAAAAGCAAAGGGCCAATAAATTTTGGAGTAAGGACCAATTTAAGAATAAAAGGACGAGTAAGAATAGGACAGGACAGCCAGTTAGTAAAAAAAGGAAAAGTAAGAATATCAAAAATTAAGGGAATAACTGAGGACCAAATTTAAAATAAAGAAGGGAAGTAAAATAACGGACATAATAAGAAAAACAAGGAGCCTGTAAGAAACAAGGGGGGGCCCCAGGTGTATACAAGGAACCAATAACAAGGAACCCGTAAACAAGGCTACAGAGGTGGTTTGTTGGCAATGTTATGGATTTGGAGGCTGTTGACGGAGTGGGAAGGGGGACAATGGGCAGAGTTCGTGAACGCTGTGGAGGATTTCTGAAAGCAGTGAGATTTGTGTCACAGATAGGGGAGGCTAACCTTATATGGGGTAAAAGGAAATTTTTTACCTTTGCTTGACGGGAAACTTATTGTGGCTAGTTTATAGTGCTAAGATGGGGTTGAGGAAATTATGGGGGTCTTGGAACCGCGGGTTAAAAATAAAATCCGGGCCGGGGAGGTTTGTGTCTTTTCTGATCCGTGTCATTTAGATTTCGGAGTCAAGGAATTGTATGAATAAGGGCACAATAAGAATAACAAGGAACGATGAATAAAAAGGAAAGAGATAAGGTTATGACGAATAACAAAAAGAAGGGATGTAAAGAAAACAAGGGGAACAATGGAAATAGTATTGATATTTTTTGAGTTACGTCGGCGGTTAACAAGGAGGTGACTCAAAAAGAGAAGAAAAAATTTCATGTCATTCAGAGTCTGTGCAGACAAAGAACTTTGTCCCTTTTGGGGGCACAAGAAGGGACAGTTTAAGTATAGTTTTCCAAACTGCATCTTATATGGGTTCATTTAAAGTGCAGGAGTAGAACTTACATAGGGATCAAGCCTGGCTGCAATGTGTGTGTCTAATATTTTAATGCATGAGAATTGTTTCTTATGGAGTAAAGGTGCTAAATTACTTAAATTTGTCCACAAGGCTGAGCAAAGTTTGTTTGAAATGGTTGGACATGTAACAAATTGTAGCAAACAAATGCTTAAGACTGTATCATCTTATAAGGGAAGCTGGTCGGCCCTACAAGGTTAAGTTAACAGTTGGACCCAGCAGGCAGGCATACGGTAAGATAGGGTCAGGAACAGGACAAATGGGTTTCTGATCTTGGGTCTGTTTATGTGTGAGCAACTGGACATTTTGGGCATTCAGGACCGGCCCCCACTGAGTCCCTGGAGATGAATACAGTGCTGCACTCTGAAGGAGGGGTGTTAATGTTGCAGTTTAAAACTGTAGTGTAAAGCACCTCGGCCAACGTGATGGAGTGAAAGAAAGGTGAAAGTTTTTCTTTTTTTGGGCCACCCTGCCTTGGGGGAAACGGCCAGTGTGATAAAAAAAAAATAATAAGAATAAGAAAACAAGGACACCAATAAGAATAATAAGGACACCAATAAAATAACAAGGCCACCAATAAAAAATAACAAGAACACTAATAAAAATAAAAGAAAAATAATAAGAATAACAAGGGGACCCAAAAAGAATAACAAAACAATAATAAGAAAACAAAGGGCACCAATAAGAATAACAAGAACAATAATAAGAAAAACAAGGGCACCAATAAGAATAACAAGAAAAATAATAAGAATAACAAAGGACACCAGTAAGAATAACAAGGCACCAGTAAGAATAACAAGGACACCAAAGAATAACAAGAACAAAATAAGAAAACAAGGGGCACCAATAAGAAAACGGACACCAGTAAGAATAACAAGGGGCACCAAAAAAGAATAAAAAGGAAACCAGTAAAAATAACAAGGACCCAGTAAGAAAACAAGGACACCAAAAAGAATAACAAGGACACCCAAAAAGAAAACAAGGACCCAATAAGAATAACAAAAACCCCGTAAGAATAACAAGGACACCCAAAAAGAATAACAAGGGGCACCAAAAGAAAACAAGAACACTAATAAAAAAACAAAAAAAACACTAATAAGAATAAAAAAGAACAATAAAAAGAATAAAAAGAACAAAATAAGAATAACAAGGACCAATAAGAATAAAAAAGGACCCAGTCAAACCATCCCCGGCCGGGGTATGGTTTGTTTGCAATCGTATCATTTTATTTGTGAGTCATGTTGACGGGAGTGAAGGGACTTGATTTTTGGTTTGTCACGGCCACGTTTGCGGGGATTCACTGTAAAAACTTGCTTTTGGTCACAGTGGTGCCTGTCTAAACCTTTCCCAGGGGGTAGAAAAACCTTTGGCGAATCTTATTGTGGTAGTGGTCTGCGGTAACGCACGGCTGGGGTTTGAGACTCTATGACCCGGGGGCAATCCCCCCGGGGGATGGTTTTTTTGCAACTTCATTACTTTTGGAGTCAAGGACACCAGTAAGAAAAACAAAAAAACCAATAAGAATAACAAGGACACCAAAAAGAAAAAAAGGACACCAGTAAGAAAACATGACACCAGAAGACTAACAAGGGGCCTAGAAAAAAAAACAAGGACCACAATGGAAATTAATCACTTTGACTTTTTTTTTTTTAAAAAAATTGGGAGTTTTCCCCCCAAGCAAGGTGACCCCAAAAGAAAGAAAAAAAAATTTCATCATCATTCAAACATTTTTCCCCCCCGTCATTAATAATAATTTTCTGTCTTTGCGAGGCCCCAAAAAAGACAGTTTAAAAAATTTCCTCCAAACGCCAATATCCAAAATTTCCTTTTAAATGAGGCATTGTATTCCCATATCCAGGACCCAAGCCTGGCTAAATGGTTTATCTAAGTAATTTACACTACATATAAAATTTTACTTTTTGAGTAAATGGCCCAATAAAAAATTTCTTAAATTTAGTACCTTTCAATTCAAGCAAAGGTTTTTTTAAAGTCTGACATAACTAAAACCCAAAATTTTTACATTAACAAATGGTAAGGTACTGAAATACTAACATATTATAGATACATTTTGCTTTACAATGTTAAGTTAACAGTTGACCAAACACAGGCTAGGCTCGGTAAGATATGTCAGGAAACAGGACAAATGTTTCCTGATGTGGGTCTCGTCATGTGATGACCCGCCACTGGAGTTTTTGGTCATCTGACCAAGGCCATCCACTGGCTTACCCCTCCACCCTTTTAAAAATTCTGATTATGATTATAACCACTTGACCAAGCACAAAAAGATTTTTATATTAACCTGTAATGACTGGTCATGTGTCGGGGGACACAAGGTTAGTGTAGATTGCCTCAGAGACGGGTCTTGTCCCAAGCTTAACTCTAACGTTGGAGGTGGGCGGTGTGTGCTTCCTGTGGAGTCACCAGTGTTGTAGGCAGAAGATGAGTCTCTCTCTTCTTGTGGAGCATCAGTTCGCTTTACTGAGTTAGTGACAGGGGCAGTGGACTTGATATTAGTAGGGGATCGTGGATGAGGATTTTCTCGGACCCATCTCTCAACTGACTGTTGTTTCTCGACTGCACGTCTCTCACGTCCACTGCCCCCCACTGCTGCTGCTAGTGCCACTACCTCTGGTACCTCGCCCACTGCTTTGGTGTTGCTGCTGCTGTAAGGATACAGGAGTCGGCTTTTGCTGCACTGGTTGTTTAGTACTAGATGTGACTGTTGTTTGTTGATGACGTCGGCGAGTTCGACCTGGTTCATATGGCACACAGTAAATAGGCTCATCTGACTCACTTACATCAGGAATCGACTCATAAATATGCTCAGATTCTGAGCCAGTTGGTAGAGGTGTTTTAGCTGGCGGTCTACATGATATGCTCTTGGTATCTTTTTTCTGCTGTTTTTCATGTGGAACCTTATACTGAGGTTCAAGTTCTCTTTGGTTCGACTTATGTGTTGCTTCAAGTTGCTCACACTGCTGGGCAAGATTAGCCATCTTTTCATCAAGAGCGACCATCTCCTGATCCACCGTGGAAGCCTTGTTGTCGTCTCTCATCTGTGAACCCCGGGATGAAGTGGATGAGGCTGAAGAGGCTTTTTTGCATGGTTTCCTCTCACATGATGATGATGAGGAAGATGAAGAGGAGGAACATAAGGTGTTTACATGACCCACGTCTTCATATGGGACTTTCTTCTCTATACTAGTGTTGCTCTTTGTTGATAATGCAGGCGACCTGAAAAATATAATGAACTGTAAAACCTGCCCAACAGAATTAATGTCAGTTTAACCCCCAAATATGAAAGCTTCGATTATACAATGGTTTTATTAACCCTTAAACGGTTCAAACAGATCGACGTTCAAATTCGTAGTGCTACAAAAGTAGATCTACTTTTTTTTACATATTTTCAAATACAGTGGACCCCCGGTTAACGATATTTTTTCACTCCAGAAGTATGTTCAGGTGCCAGTACTGACCGAATTTGTTCCCATAAGAAATATTGTGAAATAGATTAGTCCATTTCAGACCCCCAAACATACACGTACAAATGCACTTACATAAATATTATTATTATTATTATCACACTGGCCGATTCCCACCAAGGCAGGGTGGCCCGAAAAAGAAAAACTTTCACCATCATTCACTCCATCACTGTCTTGCCAGAAGGGTGCTTTACACTACAGTTTTTAAACTGCAACATTAACACCCCTCCTTCAGAGTGCAGGCACTGTACTTCCCATCTCCAGGACTCAAGTCCGGCCTGCCGGTTTCCCTGAATCCCTTCATAAATGTTACTTTGCTCACACTCCAACAGCACGTCAAGTATTAAAAACCATTTGTCTCCATTCACTCCTATCAAACACGCTCACGCATGCCTGCTGGAAGTCCAAGCCCCTCGCACACAAAACCTCCTTTACCCCCTCCCTCCAACCCTTTCTAGGCTTACATAAATACACTTACATAATTGGTCGCATTCGGAGGTAATCGTTATGCGGGGGTCCACTGTATAACAAAAAAATGTAGATAAAAGTTTTTTTACACGTTTTCAAATGTAAAACAAAAAAAAAAGATCTACTTTTATTTAAATACTTTCAGATGTTGAAAAAACGTATATATACGTTTGGACCATTTAAGGGTTAAAGCACACTTTTTTCGGGGATTGGAGAAGAATCCATAAATTGAAAGTTAGCCATAAGATTTCATTCAATAGTCTTCTCCACTTGCAAATCCATTTTTCCCTTTAGAAGCTATTTATGAATGCCAATATTACTCACAACGGTAAAAATTTTATGTGATATTGACAGTTTTGACATGGGACCTTGGTCACTCCAAAGGTACATTTGGAGTGAAGGTCCTAAGATCAAAGTATCTCCAATAAAATGTTCTAGTGTTTGTATTTTGTGTCTTTCTCCAATATACTGTACCACATATGTACAGTAGGGCCCCGCTTTACAGCATTTCACCTTACAGAGTTCTGCTAATATGGACATTTCAAATAATGACCAAAACTCGCTATATGGCTCCCCGACTCTCTAATATGGTAACCAGAGGCGTCGTTAGAGGGGGACGGGGGGAGGGCACCCCGGGTGACACCATTTAGGGGGTGACACCAAAGAGCCTCTAAAGAAGGTGACACTAAGAACATAAGAAAGGAGGAACACTGCAGCAGACCTGTTGGCCCATACTAGGCAGTGCTGCAGCAACATAAGAGAAAAATCCTTTGTCTCTATATAGCCTATTATATGATTACAGAGTACAAATAGGCCTATATAGGGAAAATCAATGACGCTATATGATAAAGTACGATAAATCAATAATTTTATTTATGATGTTTTGGAAAAATCCTTAATCGCCCTGACATCACTATGATCAGTCATCAGTGACGTTACATACTGTGTCTGCTGCACCGCCCACCAGTGAGTTTGGTCCAGGTGGTGTATATGTGGCTGGGTTAAACAGACAAAGGGTCAGGTAATTATCATATTTTGAGCTTTACTTTTGCTTATTGGTGATATCAGTCATGTTCATGAACCAAGATATATGAACGGGTGAGAACTGACATTCATGAAATGTTGAAATAACCGTGGTACGTAAGAACAAAAGAATGGAGGAACACTGCAGAAGGCCTACCTGACCACACAAGGCAGGTCCTTAACAAAACTACCCCTACCCAAAGTTTTTCTCTACTTGTACTACACCTCACTCAAAGCCTATATATACCCTCTGTGTCCATGTATTGTTTGTATTAGCTTGACAAAGCTCCTGGAAAGTGAAACGTTGCCCCTCTCTACTTTGTATTGGACTGAAGAAGCCATTGTGTGGTGAAACATTTCCTTAATAATGATTCCCATAAGTGTCTCAATCTTCAACTTGTCAGTTTTCAAACCATTTATCACAGTAGTGAATGTATATGCCACTGTGCATAGGCTTGTGCTACACGGAAAAAACAAAACCTGTATCCGAGAGGTGGATATTAACATCAAGGAAAGGAAGCAAGGAATTAGATTCCCATTGAAGATTGAGACACTTAAACAAGATAAGAACATAAGAAAGGAGGAACACTGCAGCAGGCCTGTTGGCCCACTTTGTATTGTACTGATGAAGCTACACAGTGGCTAGAGTCATCAGGACAAAGAGCAAAGATGTCATCTACATACATAACTTTCCTAGTATGAGTCAATATCAAAATGGTGTACAATACCGACAGGTTTGTAGGTAAGACACATAGGCAACAGTTAGGCAACTTTATTCCGAAACATTTTGCCTACACAGTAGGCTTCTTCAGTTCTTCAGTTGAGTACAGAAAGTAGGCAGGAGAAGTAGAGATGAGAAGACGATGTAATCAGTCCATCACCCTTGAAGTCGTAGATTTGAGGTTGTCAGTCCCTCAGCCTGGAGATGTTCCGTTGCATAGTCTGGAACTATATGTTGCCTATGTGTCTTACCTGGAGTTTACCTGGAGAGAGTTTCGGGGGTCAACGCCCCCGCGGCCCGGTCTGTGACCAGGCCTCCTGGTGGATCAGCGCCTGATCAACCAGGCTGTTGCTGCTGGCTGCACGCAAACCAACGTACGAGCCACAGCCCGGCTGATCAGGAACTGACTTTAGTTGCTTGTCCAGTGCCAGCTTGAAGACTGCCAGGGGTCTGTTGGTAATCCCCCTTATGTGTGCTGGGAGGCAGTTGAACAGTCTCGGGCCCCTGACACTTATTGTATGGTCTCTTAACGTGCTAGTGACACCCCTGCTTTTCATTGGGGGATGGTGCATCGTCTGCCAAGTCTTTTGCTTTCGTAGTGAGTGATTTTCGTGTGCAAGTTTGGTACTAGTCCCTCTAGGATTTTCCAGGTGTATATAATCATGTATCTCTCCCTCCTGCGTTCCAGGGAATACAGGTTTAGGAACCTCAAGCGCTCCCAATAATTGAGGTGTTTTATCTCCGTTATGGCGCCGTGAAAGTTCTCTGTACATTTTCTAGGTCGGCAATTTCACCTGCCTTGAAAGGTGCTGTTAGTGTGCAGCAATATTCCAGCCTAGATAGAACAAGTGACCTGAAGAGTGTCATCATGGGCTTGGCCTCCCTAGTTTTGAAGGTTCTCATTATCCATCCTGTCATTTTTCTAGCAGATGCGATTGATACAATGTTATGGTCCTTGAAGGTGAGATCCTCCGACATGATCACTCCCAGGTCTTTGACGTTGGTGTTTCGCTCTATTTTGTGGCCCGAATTTGTTTTGTACTCTGATGTGCGGGTTATTTGTGTATTGCTCCAGTCATGGTATTGTGCCTTTTTGTTATTTATTAATATCCATTTTAACCATTCATAGTTGTTACCAATCCTTGTGGAATAAAGCCTATAAGGCCAGGAGGCTTACTAAATAATATGGTACACATTAGTATTACATCCATAATGACCATTATGATTATTTTTTCCAATTCATTGGAAAGTAGGCTTAATTTTTTCTGCTTTGCTCTCATTCTGGTTAGAGTCTGAGTTAAATATCCAAATTAGGTTCTATTGAAAAAATTAATGCAATCATGAAACAACAGTTATTAATGGTTAGTCTTAATTTCATCTGACCTTAACCCACTTATTTCCTTTCCTAACTTCATTTCATCCTCAGGATAATAGAATTGGCACCATTTATTTCTTTGTCACCATTAAAAGTTACCGAATATTCAGTAGAACTAAATCGGTGAACCTGGCATTCTTTTTTCAGATCACTGATATAATATTATGCCTCATGGAATGCATTAATTGAAGAGGCCTCGTGGATGTCAACAAAGGAAGGCAAAAAATGAAAAAGTTCAGCTAATGCGAAAAATGGCCGAGTCTGTGGTTCAGTATCTCAGTGTTATCTTACTGATAACACTGATGTTGATTCTAACTCCAACAATGGTAATATAAGCGAGAGGAATGAAGGGAATGAGAGTCTGCGAGAGTTAGCATCGATGTGTGGCGTTTCTTCTTGGAAAATTCCAGTTCCAGACCATTCCAGGATTGAAATCATCAAAAGAGGTAGTTATGTTTATCAGAATAAGGATGGCCTTTTTCGTGTTACAAAGAGAAAAAAATGCAAAAGGCGATGAGCGTCAGCTTTCTAAAGAATGGTTCTACAAACAGATGCTGAATGGTGAGAAAATTTTGTGATCATGGATGGTGTACTCGCCAGTCAGTGGGAAATTATACTGTTACTGCTGTAGACTGTTTACCTCTAGTGTTACAAGTATAACATCAAAGTTTGTGACTGGGTTTCAAATATGGTGGAAGCTGAATCCAAAAGTACACAATCATGAAACTTCTGATGAACACCTACGTTGCCTCGAGAATTTGAAAACCATGGCAGCCGGTTTAAGGGTGAACAAAACCATAGATGCGGAAATAATTGTTTCAATGGAAATCCAGAAGGAAATATTGTACAGGTTGCTCGACATTACGCTGTTTCTGGCTAAACAGAACTTAGCATTTCGCGGCTACAGGGACGACGAATTCTCATCAAACAGAGGAAATTTTAGTAAGATGGTTGAATTAATAGTTAAGTATGATCCTGTGCTAAAAGAGCACCTAATGAGACTGAAGTGCAGCTCAAGTGAACACAGGTCATCAGTTTCATATCTTTCACCATCAACTCAAAATGAGTTTTTAAGTGTTCTGGCAAACCGAGTCAAGGAGAAACTTGTTACTGATATCAAGAGAGCTGTATACTACAGCGTTATGTTTGACAGTGGTCAGCATTC